AAATGAAGCAATAAAACAAACACCAAAGAAATCCTTTAACATGTACAGTCTTTCAAGCATTTCAGAGAGGAAGTAGAACTCTTCATGAAAATATTTTGTTCCTCACAGGGTTTTCTGTTTGTCTGTTCAAAAATACTTTAAAGGGTTGCCCAGCTGAGGGTCCGGGTATCTAATTTCTTTGACAATTATACAACTAAAATTTCAAATTCACAGATATCTTCTGTGGTGTGTGGCTGTCATTGATTTGTTAGCTGGTAGGTTTTTTTTTTAAATTTATTTTATTTATGTGTGTCTGTGTATACGTCTCTGTGTGTGTGCAGATGTGCCTGCAGGTGCTCATGGGGGCCAGGGGAGGGCAATGGGGGACGTTGGAGCAGGAGTTGAAGGCATTTTTGAACTGCCTGATAAAGGTACTCAGATCTGAAATCTGGTCCTCCTGATGGTGCACCCGGCACTCTTAACAGCTGAGCCATCTCTTCAGCTCAGGAGAATATTTTTGAAGTAATAAATATAACCTTATGGTCTATAAAGATACAAGTGATAGTTTAATGTTGAGTAAGAAAGTTACTGACTTTCTCAGGACTAAATCATACTGGGAGAAAGCATTTTAAAAGTAGATGATTGTAAATATTTCCACCTCTGTATGGTAGGTAGAAAATCATGTCACCTCCTCATTAAAAAATTACAAATTAGGGAAAAAATGCTATTCAAAAGCTTCCCAAAGAAATACCACAAAGAGTTTTAAATCTGTCTGATAAAAATATGTTTAAAATTTGGGGGCTGGAGAGATGGCTCAGTGGTTATGAGCACTGACTGCTTTTGCAGAGGACCTGGGTTCGATTCCCAGCACCCACATGGTGGCGAAATAAAAATGATGTCTGATTAAATTGTGAAAAAAATGTTTGAACTTGAGGCGAGGGAAACTCACTAGCCCAGTTTTAAGAATGATGTTATTGTGGAGGGCGTAAAGTATTCAGCAATGGACAATCTGACTCAGTAAGGATGGGCACATACCTGTCATTTGAACCTCTTGTTTGGTAACAGTAAAAATTTTAGCCGTGACATCCAGTAAAACAACATCTCTAAAACCAGACTTTTGTTTTTGACAAAGTATAAAACTAGGACCCTGGGGCTGATGAGATGGCTCAGTGGTTAAAGCACTTGCTGTGCAAGCACGAGGACCACAGTTCAGATCCCCAGAAACCCACATGAATGCTGGGTGGGTGTGGCTACCTGTTATAATTCCAGCCTCTGGAGACAGGGATTCCCAGAGCAAGTTGGCTAGCCAGATTAGCCATATTGGTGAGCTCTGGGATTGATTAAGAGACCCTGTCTCAAAGAATTAAAGTGGAAGAGTGATAAAGGATGAGTCCATGCCTCCACATGCACCACACATGTGCATCCACACATTTGCAAAAGCATATATGCATGCACATGCGTGTGTGCGTGCACACGCATGTACACACACACACACGAAAAATAGAAAAAAAAACCCAAAGACTCTGATTGAAGGCTTTAAAAGTTATTTGTCATCAGTATATATTCTGTGCGAGGTGCATGATGTAAGCACGTGACCACCGTCTTCCTGGCATCTCTTCAGCAAATGACAGTGGGATCTTGAACAAAATACCAGAGTGTGCAGAAAACAGAGTGTGGGAGGAGAGTGTCTAAGTCTCCGATTGCTGCCACAACAAATTCTCAGAAAACTAGAGTCTGAAAATAACACGGAGGTATTAACTCACAGTTTGGGAGGTTAGAAGGCCTGGAAGCAGTTTTCACTTGCCTAAGATGAAGGAATTGGTAGGGTGTAGGAGAGAATGTGTTTCTAACAGGCACCTGCCTTCCAGGACTTGTGACTTCTTCCCCCTCTTTCAAAGTCCTTCACTCCATCCTTACGTCTTCTTTCTCACTTGATCCTTGTGCCTAGTGATTTGATTTGACCCTGTTCAAACTATCCTGAAAATCCATCTCAAGCTCTTTAATGTAACAGTGTCTACAAAGTCCCATTTCCTTCTAAGGTAACATATTCATGCCTTCCTACTAGGATGTGGACATCTTTGGACATTATTCTGTCAGCTATAGGAGTGAAGATAAGTCAGAAGTCTGTGTCTCAGGTCCCCAAGAAGATGTTCCAGGTGGTTCTCATTTCCCAGGTCCTGGCAGTCTCCAGAGGAGATATGCACCTTCAGTATGGGTGTGACATCACAGATGAGAGTGGGACAGGCACAGAGCACTCCCCACAGCTGTGGGCAGAAGATAACTCACACTCCTGAGTGGGCTGTGAGCATCTCTTCTCACTGCTATCATCTCCTGTCATTTGGTGCCTCTCCCTTGGAGAAAGACACTCTGTGTAATAAGTGATTAGTCATTACTAGAGAAGTAAAAGATTGAGATGTCAATATTCAAAAGTATAGTGGTAGGAATGTGAAAAGAAAATGCAAGGGTTATTTTTTAAAGACATGATGTGAGCAAAACCCTAAAGATGGTCAGCAGGTGATATTTGTGAGTTGGTCTTTCCATAAAATAAGAAAGGAGAAGCTGAGCGTGGTGGCACACACCTTTAATCCCAACACTTAGGAGGCAGAGGCAGATCTCTGTGACATCGAGCTCAGTCTGGTTTCCATAGTGAGTTCCAGGTCAGCTGGGGCTACAGGGGGACCCTGTCTCAAAACGACAAAAAAATAAAAATAAAAATAAATAAATGAAAAGGAAAAGAAAAGAAAAGGATGGAGACAGGTGGAAATGATTGCTGCTTTACCTTCCTAGGCTCCTGAACGTAGCTGAGGCTGGGCCTTAGAATCACTTGGAAACTTGTTCAAAAGTGCCAGAGCCAAAGTTTCTCACAATCTCTGAGCATGATGCTGAGGACGGCAATTATTTTTTTAAGCTCCCTTGAATTATTCTAATGTTCAACCTTATTTGTTTGTGATCTACCTGCAAAGGAGTGGACTTACAGACTGAATTCCTCAGTCTCTTTTTTTCTGATCTCCAGGATGTCTGTTGCTGGGGCTATCCCAGTGGGACAGACAACTTCCCTGAAATGTCTTCATCCAAATGCCATGAGAATACATTGATGCTTGAGTGACAGCCGGAGGAAACTCGGGCTTATGACCATGCTGCTCTGGACTTCTGTGAGTCCTGGAAGGAATGGAGTCTTGGTTTCATTGACAAACACAGAGTCCAGTCTCCTAGGGACACCTGGAAGCTGGCCTTCTAGGTCTTGGTGGTCCTCAGGAACAGACCCAGCTGTTACCTGGCCAGCCCCTGTGCAAGGATCCTCCTGACCTACCTGACTTTTTTCTCTCTCTTGATCCTCCCCACACTGACCTTTTCCAGTCCCAACCCAGCGATCTGTCACCTTGCACTATCCATATACCTCGACCCCATGGCTATTGAACTCTGCCTTAACTAAACACCTGCTTCAAATCACCTTCCTAGACTCACGTTCCCTGACTGTCCAATATGGAGTCCCTAAGCGGAGACCTATGGCTTCCCGACCTTGCGGCCTGCCTATGTTCGGGCTTCAGTTTTCCCCAGCCTTCTTCCCGCTGCCTAAGCCTTGCTCTCAACAATCATTTTTCTCAATCGTTTCATCCAAGGTTTCCATGGGGATCCAAATCTGGTCTGCATAAATGTGTGGTGAGCTTTAAACAAATACTCACAATGGCATTTCAATAATGTCCACCAGCTATAGCTCCAAGAGAGTGTGCAAAAACTCAGTGGGGACAAAAATGTGGTTTCCAGCATAAGCCTTTTAAGTGCATAAGTATCTTGCTGAGTGGAAAGAGAATCCCAACTGTTTATTTTACTTCTCCCTCAAATCAGCTTGAAGATTTCTTGCCTATAAACCATGAAGATGCAAATTACTGTGGCCATTTTGTGGGCTTCCCTATTATGAAAACCACTTATTTTCATGGTGATTCAACATTATTCTATTTTGAAATTTTAGGTGAAAAGCTTGATGAATTCCAAGCATTCTTTTTCATACCAGCAGGATTTTGCCAAGCTTGGGAATAATAATTGATCAGGACACTTGGGAAAATTGTGGAGAACCAACTTTGAGCACATGTTGTCTGCTATGGCAGGATAGGTAGACATGACAGGATAGAGATGACAGGATAGGTATTAAACAGGCTTCCCAGGCAGTCCTGGTTCTGAGACCATATTATATATTCTTGTGTGTGTGTGTGTGTGTGTACGTATATGTATTTGAGAATTATTATTATTATTATTATTTTGCTCTTTTTTTGAGACAGGGTCTCCCTATAGCCCCAGCTGACCTGGCACTTGCTATGTAGACCAGGTTGGCCTCAAACTCACAGAGATTCTCTTGCCTCTGCCTTCGTGCTGGGATTAAAGGTGTGTGCCACCACGCCCAGTGTTATTTATTATTTTTTAGAAATATGTATTTACCTTTATTGTATTAGAAAAACTCACTTAAGCCACACAGTGGCCATAGCACCCACGCTCTGAGCAGGCCTGGTCATCCCACTGCCCTCTTTGGTCCGTTATATACAAACACATGCACCCTCTATTGGAGGAAGAACTTAATGCAAAACTGAGAATTAGATATTGGATATTCCATCTTTCCCTCCTTACAGCCCTCAACTGTGATCCAAACAGAGAGCTCATAGAACAGACTGAGCACCAAGGAAACCAACCAGAAGATACTCATGTCCAAAGGAACCTTTTGGATGGTTGAAAATGCCAGCATCTCTCGGATGCTGCAGCGCAAGAGGTGTCCGAGCTACACTCCTGAGAACAGCAAAGCATACAGCGGACCCTGGGAGAGTGAGAACGTTCCATCCCACAGCCAGAAATCCCACTCACACCTGTGCATGAAACAGGCTTTTTCCAGGGCAAGGAGCATCCAAACAGGCCCTTCCAGGCCTAGTAATACTTATTTGGAGACACTGGTCCTGCCTCTTAAGAAATGGAATAGCTGGTTGGACATGCTGAGGTCAGTATGCCAAAGTAAAGCTGGCACCTGGAGGGAGGTTTTATTGCACTCCTCTAGATGGATGGTCTGGAAGGCCCTTGGAAGGCTCTGTGTTGGCTAGTTGACCTATGGTGGTCCAGGGACTCCCAGGCAATGTGCCCTCCAATAAGCCCCCCAGTGATTCCATCAGTCTAATGAAGATGGACAGTAGGGTTACCACCATACCAAGAAGAGAGAGGTTCAACATATACTTCAAGGCTGTAATACCCGGCACCTTTGCAGAGCAGTAGAGCCCCCGTCTGCTTCTGGAACCTTGAGGCTAAAGGGCCTGGAGACATCTGCTCACTGTCGCAGCAGGTGGTACAGGTGGTGTAAGAGTCAGGAGGATGTGTCCGTGGCAACACCACACAGGCACTGGTCATATCTGAGAATTTGATACATGAATATTATGTTTGTATAATTTCCTCCCTTCCCAGTACCACCCCCAGTCCATTCCAGTACCCTCAAATCCTTCACAATTTCTTTTCCTCTTCCTTGGTCATTATTCTTACATATACACACATGCATCTATAAACGCACAGTATATTATATATAATGCACTGAGTCTATTTAGTGATGCTCGTGGTATATGTGTTTAGGGCTGACCACTTGGGATTAGATCAGGGAGTCATTCCTTCTTCCTCAGCATCCATTTATTGCTTGGAGTTCTTCATCTGGAGGTGGGACCCTTGAAATTCCCCACATTCACACTGGCATGTCAACTGGTGTTGTCTTTTACAGGTCTTGTTAGGCTCTCATGAGTACAGCTTCCTTATCAAGTCTAGAATACATTACCTACCTGTTGTCGTTCTGATCCTCTGGCTCTTATAATCTTTCCTCCAGCTCTTCCTCGATGTTCCCTGAGCCTTAGGTGTAGAAGTTGCATTGTAGATGGATCAGTTGGAGCCTGGCACTCCACAGTCACTTATTCTACTGGAACTACATTGGCTTCACCTGGGAACTTGATAGAACTGCAGACTCTCAAGTTGGACCCAGATCAACTGAACCAGCATCAGAAGGTGAACATAATTCCCAGATGACTCAGGAGCCCATTTGCAGTTTAATAAGCTGGTACTTCCAATCTTTTCCTGGACCCTTCTTCCCCTCTCCCTGTGGTGGTTCATTTTCACTGTGAGTTTGACACAACCTAAAATCACCCGGGAAGAAAGTCTCACTGAGGGATTCTCTAGATCAGGTTGGCCTGTGGGCGTGTCTGGGGGGTTGTCTTGATTGTATTAATGGATGTGGGAAGACCCAGCCCACTGTAGGCAGTGCCATTTCCTGGGGTTGGGACCTGAATTGCATAAGAGTGAAGAGAGTGAACTGAGTAGTAGACACGCAGGCATCAATTCATTTCTCTTTGCTCTTGAGTATAGATGTGATAGGACCAGATACTCCAAGTTCCATCCTCCTTCACTTCCCACAGTGCTGTACTGTAGGTTGGAGTTGGGGGTTAGAATGATCCCTTTCCTCCTCAGCTGCTTTTCATCAAGGTGTTTGTCACGGAACCTGGAAAGGAAACCAAAACACTCAATTTGTTGTCTCCCAATTCTGCTAGTTCTTGAAAATTCTTGTTCTAGAATTTTATCTCAAATCTCAAAGCCGGTATTTCTCAGGGCTATCACAGAATGCAGACGAGAATCGCTAGAATCACTGGAAACTTGTCAAAGTACAACTTCCTGAGCACTACCTGCAGGGTTCCAGCCCACACTGCAGTTTGAAAACCATGGCTCTTGACTAATTTACAAATTACTTGTCCCTGAAGTTGCTGCCTCCCAGATACCAACTTTCTTCTTCCAGCCCTCCATGTCTATGGGAACTTTAGTATGACCCGAGTGCCTCAACTTTTCCCACCTCATGTAGTCATGTTGAAGACTGTTGGGCCGAAGTTTCTTAACCCATCAAATCTCAGTTCCCTTCCAATCTGTCATCTCATGTTGGTACAGCTAACCATTACCCAAATCCTCCATTACTCAAAACTTATTTATAACAAACTTGACTGCTCCCAAAGCTCACTTCTCTACTATGCATTCAAATGAGTTGGCATTTGGCCATTTCACAAATAATTCTTCTTTCAGAAGGGAGATGAAAGGAAGGTAGAGAAAGACTTAACTTTGGCTTATTAAGTGGCACATGTAAGTCAGCAAAGCAGTTACCTCCCAAATGTCCACGTTCTTTTTTAGTTTTCCTTTTTTTAAAAAAAAAATTTATTATTTTTATTTATGTGTATAAGTGTATTGTCTGCATGTGTGTAAGTGCACCTATGTCATGCAATGCCATGGAGGACAGAAGAAGGCATCAGATCCCCTGGAACTGGAGTTATGGACGGTTGTTAGCTCCCATGTGGGTGCTCTTAACCACTGAGCCATCTCTCCAGCTCCAAGAATATTATATTTAGCTAAGAATGTCTTAGTCAGCCGGGTGTGGCAGCACACGCCTTTAGTTCTAGCACTCAGCAGACAGAGGCAGGCAGATCTCTGTGGGTTCAAGGCCAGCCTGGTCTACATAGTGAGTTTCAGGCCAGCTGGGGCTACAGGGAGACCGTCTCAAAAAGCCAACACACAAAAAAGAATATCTTAGACTTCTTAATTGACAGTTATTATAGACAAATATGGGAAAAGTTTCAGGGAACAGTAGTTCATTGAATAAAGGTTAGACTTAGGGAGCTTTACAAAGGTCAGTGCCCATGGAATCTTTGGGGGTAAGGGCAGGCAGTGGTATTGTTTAAAGGCTCCCCAGGTAATTCTCATGGAGAAGTATTCCAACTAGAAGATGGTTGGGAATCTCAGATCATACGTTAGCCAAGATCTGTTTTTCAAACTGCAGCATGCTTTGAACCCTTCAGGAGACCGACAATGTTTAGGAGGCCATATTTTGGCAAGTTTCCAGGTGACACAGTTGGCATTCGTTATCCCATGAGTACCCCAAGTGCCACTGCTCGTAGGATCTGAGGTGATTTCAATTTTGCTGATCACCGTGAGTTTGCAAACCACTTAATACCTTCTCTCTACTTAGACGTTCTCCAACAAGGGCAACTATGGCTCTTGATGAGGAGAAGCACAAGCCTCCTCTGGGGTCTCTCCAAGGGGCAGATACTGTTACTCTGACTTGGTTCTCCAGGGAATTGTCCTGTGGTTGTTTTGACCGTGTATGAAGGATCTCCCATCCATCTCCTGCTATGCCTGTCCCTGGTAACTGCATGCCCCACCAAAACCTGGACCACGAAGACATAGCCATGTCCTTCTTGGCAGTCATCATGTCCAACATCAGCTCTGTTCTCTGGATTAATGTTTTCTCAAAGTTTTTGATCTCCAAGGAATTCCTTGATTGTTTTTATTTTTGTTCATTTTTGTTTGCTTTGGGGTTTTGTTTTTATATTTTATATTTTATTTATGGTATGTGTATGTGTATGTGTGTCACCTGTATGCAGGTGTCTTGGGGCCAGAAGAAGGTGCTCGATCTGTGGGAGCTGGAATTATAGATAGTTGTGAATTGCCTGATATGGGTGCTGGGAACAAAACATGGGTTCTCTGTAAAAGCAAGAAGTGTTCTTAACCACTGAGCCATCTCTCCAACCCCCAGGAATCCCTTGTTTTGATGTCAGTTCAGTTGTATTTCAGAAATAATTTTTATTAAATATAACCATCATTTTTAATGCTACTTGGGAGTGTTGTCATATTCCCAGGGACACCAGTAGACAGCCACTTCCTGTGTCTCTGGAGAAGGCAGCAGAACCAGGATAGTCTTTTTATTAATGAATGGATCAGTGGTTTTTACATTGTTCCCAGAATTCCTGTTACTCTGTGATGCTGCCATGCAGTTTGGAGGACAAGCTAATGATATGTCCCCCAGGCTGGACTGAGTTAAGTTTACACATCTATTCCTTAGGACCCTCTAAAAGAAGTTACCATACAGATTTCTTGGACCTGTCATCAAACATTTTGAGTTTCCTTGTGATATTCAGAAGGTCTTACTTTCACTGAGGCACAGACACAGATGCATCATGAAGCTGGGCCTAGGAACACATCGTTTGGCACTGAGGATGCCTGGCCTGCCACCAGCATCCTCGTTCCAACTCAGTGCGCTGCTTTCTCTCCCTGAGCCTTTTACCATTATAAAAAAAGTACTTTTCAAGTGTGTGAAAAATGATTATCAATGAAAAGCAACTTGTTTTGTGAAAGCTGAAAGGACATTTAGGTTGTGGTGTGGAAGAGACACAGGAAATGTTTAATTCCCGGTGGAGACTGGCTTCGGGAAGATGCCAGGAGCCACATTCTTGAGTTGGGGAATTCTGGAAGAATCAAAAGTGTCATCCCATGAGGATTTTGAGTGCCTACTGTGTATTACTGCACATTAATAATAGTGTTGCGAAAAATAAAGTTAGGCAGATGCTAAATTTAAAAAGAATCTACACACTTTGGCAGTTTCTTGTAAAACTAAATATATCTTACCTTACAATCAAGCAATTGTGTTCCTAAGTGTTTACTGAAAGGAGCTGAAAGCTTATGTCTATGTAAAACCCTACAAAAATATGATTATAACAGTTTTATTAATAATTTCCAAATCTTGGATGCAGTCAAGACTCCTTTCATTAGGTGAATGAATAAATACACTGTGATGCATCCAGACGCTGGAATATTATTCGGGTGTGAAGGAATGTGATATCAAGACATACAAAGGCATGAGGAGTCTCTCATGCAAATGGCTAAGGGAAGGAGACCAAGCTGGAAAGGCCATGTACTATGTAACTCTATATGACACTCAGGGAAAGGCAAAACCATGGACAGAGACTGGAGAAAGACCAGTGGATGCCAGAGGTTAGGAGACAGGAAATGATGAGAAATGGAGGACCATGGTGAGGATGGGTCATTGTATGCTTGTCTAGACACAGTATGCCCAAGGCCAGGGATGAAGACTGTCTTAGTTTGTTCTCCATTGCTGTGACAAAACACTCTGACCACTACCAACTTGGGGAGGAAAGGATTTATTTAGCTTACATATCCCAGGTCACAGTTCATCCAAGAGCCCAAGGTAGGAACTCAGGGCAGGAACCTGGAAGCAGGAGCTAGAGCATAGGCCATGGAGGATGCTGCTTTATTGCTCCCCTGGCCCATGCTTAACCTGCTTTTTTTTTTTACTCTGACCAATACCAACTTGGGGAGGAAAGGGTTTATTTGTCGTACAACTCCCAGGTCGCAGTTCATCAGGGAGCCCAAGGTAGGAACTCAGGGCAGGAACCTGGAGGCAGGAGCTGGAGCACAGGCCATGGAGGAACGCTGCTTACTGGCTTGCTTCCCTGGCCCCTGCTCAGCCTGCTTTCTTATGCAACACAGGCCCACCTGCCCAGGGGTGGCACCACCCACAGTGGGCTGGGCCCTTCCACATCACTCACCAAGAAGATGCCCCTCAGACATGGCCACAGGCCAGTCCAATAGAGGCAATTCCCCAACTGAGGCTCCCTCAACCCAGGTGTGTCAAGTTGACACTAAAGCTATCCAGCACAAAGCCCAATGCACTTTGGGTGATAATGATCTGTTAATGAAGGTTCAGTGATTGGAACAAATGCTCCATTTGTGGGGGATGTTGAAGTGAGGAATTTGTGCATGTGGGGGATAGAGGGCATGAGGATAGTCCTTGTACTTGCCTCATAATTTCGCTGTGAATCTAAAATTGTTCTTTAAAAAGTTTATTAATTGAAAAAGTCTGAAGCGTGTAGAGATGATATCCCAGCTGTTTCTTTAAGTAACTGTTTTGTACTGAGAAAAACTATTCACTCTGTTACATTCAGGGCCTTGAGAAAGTGACTGCCCCCTTGCATGCCCCTGACTAGCTGGGGAAGTGATCTTAGGTCCTGGGGGGGGGGATAGACACAGGAACACTGTCATTTGGGGTCTTAAGGAGCATCTCCACTGCTGAGGGATGAGAGGGGGCAGGAATACAGGCACACAGGCATTGCACAGGGGCTGGTGGAAAGGTTAGCACAGAAACCAGTGCCCCTGGTTATCCCTAAAGAGAACTGGGAAGCCAGGTCTGGTGCTGCACACCTGTAATCCTAACATGTGGGAGGCTGAGACAGGAGGATGGTGTATTCGAGCCAGTCTGGGCTACATTGTGCTGGTCTTGAAGGAAGGCAGGAAGAAGAGAAAGGAGGGAAGGAGGAAGAGAAGAAGGAAAGGAGACAGAGAGTGAGAATGCATGCATGAGAGAGGGGGGAGGAAGGAGAGGGAGGAGGAGGCAGAGGAGGAGGGGGAGGAGGAGAGGAAGGAGGAGGAGGGGAGGAAGAGGAGGAGGAGGAGAAGAAGAGGCAAGAGAAGGGAAAGGAGAGGAAAAGAAGGGATGGAAAGGGAAGGGAAGAGGGGAAGTGAGGGGAGGGGAGAAGGGAAGGCAAAGGAGGGGATAGAAAGGCAATCGAAAGATTTCATATCTGGCACCTCTTGATTCTTTGCAAAAATCAGCATCTACCTGCAGACATACACTAGCACACACATGTGTAGATGCACAGCTGTAGATAGACTGACAGGCGTACACTGATGCACACATACCCAGAGCAAAAAGGGACAGTTACACGTGTGCAACTTTGTAACGTGTCTCTTGTAGATACACACAGATGATCAAGGCTGCTTGCATTTTGGAAGTACAAGCATAGCTCCTGATAAACATGCTCTCTCTACAGCCTGGGGAGTTAATTTTTCAAACTCTAAGCCCCCCCTGGGACTACAACAGCTTTCCAGAACAATCAGCTCCCCCTCCTCCATCACTGAGCTGCGCTTGGAGGAGCTCTGAAAAATCCCAGTTTGGCTTCTGGCAAATGCACCCATGTATTCATCCGAGTCTTCCTGCCGGTGTCTTGCCTGCCCACATAGCTTCACTGCCCGAGGCAGGTTGTAATTTACTGCTGTCAGTTTACGGCACTCACTTCCCCATATGACACTGGGGGTCTTTGGTGGTGAGGAGGTGCTGTGCATGGCTGCCCGAGAGGTCAACAGC